TAAAGGCACAGAAAACTATTCTGGATGAAAAATATTATGTTATATAAAATATTTTTAAGGAATTATTTTATTTAAATTTATTTATTTATTTATTTGACCAGAGAGGGACACAGGGAGTGAGAGAGAGAGAGAGAAAGAGAGAGAAAGCAAGCCACCAGGTTCGGGACTTGAACCTCAGTCAGCCATATGGGAGTCTAGCATCCTTAACCACCATGCCACCTGCCGGCCCCAACCTCTTCACTTCTTAGTTACGGTAAGTTTCTTATTTTTAATGGAAAAATTAGTAGTGATGAATACTTGCATACATTTTCACAGTCAAAATATTAAACTAGACATGGGATTTTGGAGTATAAACAAAACAAAGCAAATTACGTACTTTCAGAAACAGAATAAGACATTATGACAAATAATAAGTTAACATTATAGGAAGAAAAGTGAACTGAATATAATACTTACTTTGATCGTCCATGATTTATGCTCTGAAAAAGAAGACCCGATATTAATACATGGTCTAGAAATGGATAGGCCAAGTATGACTACTGACACAGAGCACTCTACAACCGAACGTTCACACTCATGGGTATTCCTCTTCATTCAGCTAGTCTAGCCTCAGCCAATCATTTCAATCTTTTGGAGCTTGACTCAATTCTCCATGCTGAGTTTCACAGTAAGACTTAGGGAGTAGTTAGTCAGACTACAATGGTGGATACTTTCTGAAAACCTTTGGGAGAGAACCCCCGAGACACAAAACCATGAGGGAACGCTGTGAGCCTGGGACCTCAATAGTCACAGTGAAAACTGGAGCCTTTACACTTCCACATCTAAAAGAAGTATGCGGTCCATTTCCCAGCCTCTACACTGAACTTCCAGAACAGTCCAGCACAGAGCAAGAAAGGTTAACTATTAGTTCACACCACTGCAATGACCTCAGGAAATTCCTGTCCTGTGGGTGTGTTCTGCCCAACTTAAACAGCTTTCATGACAGTTTTGTGGATCAAGAGATGGTTTTGGGGGCTGGCATGTGATGTGGTGGTTAAGGGCACTGGATTCCCACATAGTTGAACGTGGTTTGACTCCTGGACCTGGAGGCTTGCTTTCTCACTTTCTCTCTCTCTCTCTGTGTCTCTCTCTTGCTCTGTCCCTCTGGTCAAATTAACATAAATAAATAAATGAATGAATGAATGAATAAAATAATTATTAAAAAAAGAATTATTTTAATTGAACTTTATTCATTCATTTATTTATTTATTTTAATTCGATCATAGAGGGACACATAAATGAATGAATAAAGTTCAGTTAAAATAATTCTTTTTTTAAAATAATTATTTTATCTATTCATTCATTTATTTATTTATTTTAATTCGATCATAGAGGGACACACACACACACAGACACACAGAGAGACAGAGAGAGAAGGCAAGCCACCAGGTCCAGGATTTGAACCAGTTGACCACGTGGTAGTCCAGTGCCCTTAACCATCATGCCACCTGCTGGCTCTGAAATAATTCTTTTTAAAAAAAGATGGTTTTGACCACAAAAGCCCATCTCAGAGACGGTCTTAACTCTAGCATTCTAACAATTCAACTGACATTGTACGTGGTTATTTTTACAGAAATATAAGTAACAACGAAACGTTCTACTCAGCCTCCTGCCCTTCAGTGCCTTGATCCCATCCTAGTCTTTCCAGTGCTACCCAGTCCCTGCTTTTCCTGTCTATTGAAAATGCCCCCCCTCTTCAGGTCCCTCAATTACTATTAACACACCAGGCTAAAACTCTGTGACCCACCTATTCTATCTTGGACTTGAACATTAACACCGACCAGCCCTTCTTCCCAGGCCCACACCAAGTTGGTGACCCTTTTACTAACTCTTCCCACTGTCCAATCTAAATGGAGAAGTCAATTGATCCCACTACATCTTCAGACAACATCTTGTGTTCCCAAGAACTCCTTCCTTTTCCCTCTCTGTTTTAAAATGATTTTTCTGTCATTCCCAACTTGAAACATATGATAGTAAAACCCTTAAGATTGATCCAGTTTGGGGCTATCAGGTGACATAGTGGTTAAGTCGCTGGACTTCCCCATGGCTGACTGTGGTTTGAGTCCCAGGCCTGGTGGACTGCTTTCTCACTTTCTCTCTCTCTCTCTGGTGAATGCACATGCCCTACCGCAAATTAAATAATAATACGGGGGCATCAGGTGGCATGGTGATTAAGGGTGCTGGTCTCCCATATGGCTGACTACAGCTCAAGTCCCGGACCTGGCGGGTTGCTTTCTCACTTTTCCTCACTCTTTCTCACTCTGTCCCTCTCTGGTCAAATAAATAAATGTTAAATAAAATAATTATTAAAAAAACTATTTAAAAAATGGATCTTTATTTTAACATAAATCTTTGATGATGGAAATGTGAGGTTTGACAAGAATTATGATAGACTTTTGTATGGATGTATTTAGCAATCTTTTACAGTTCTTCATATGATCGAACTAAAACATTAATGTGGTCTTGAAACGTTCGGTCCATTTTGGCTACACAGGTATATTAGCTTACTGTTCACGGTATCAATTGTAGAGAAATGTAAATTTTAATACTTGTACCTTTTCGGCTTTATGAAACCCATAGCTGTCAGTTTATGACCAGTTCATACAAACTCAGGTTCCTTTGTTCTAAGAAAATCCAGGAAGTTAAATCAGTAATATGAAATTTTGGGTTTATTCCAGGACCAATCACACCCATTTTCAAAGAGTCAATCATTGCTAAACTTCTTGAATATCTATCATTAGAAGGTGACTATAACTGGAATGATTTTTTAAATACTTACTTATTTTTAATATTATTTTTAAAAAACTATTTTATGTATGTATGTATTCATTCATTTATTTAAATTTGTCCAGAGAGGGACAGAGTGAGACAGGGTAGGGATAGAAGGCAGAGGGAGGGGCAGGGGTGGGTGAGAAAGCAAGCCATGGTTGACCAGGTAGCAATCCAGCGCCCTTAACCACCATGCGACCTGCAGGCCCCAATAACCATTTTCTTAAAAGATGCTAATAATAACATATAAATAAAAATGCAAAGACTGATGAACTCTTGAGTGGTCTAAAGTATTCACTAATTTACATCTGGACTACACATATCTGAAGTGTTCACCTTCAAGCTGGCGGTGTGGTGGTTAAGGTGCTGGGCTCCCACGTGGCAGACCACGGTTCAGAGTCCCATACCTCATGGCTTGCTTTCTCGCTTTGCCTTTCTCTCTCTCTGTCACTCTGTGGTAAAATTAAAAATAAATAATAACAAATGAAATTAAGTATTATAAATAATAAAAAAGAAATAAAGTGTTCACCTATCTCATTTCCTATACTACACCATCTCTAATGTGCTTAACTTAAGAAAAAAACCAAAGAGGGGCCAGCAGGTGGCACGGTGGTTAAAGGCACTGGATTCCCACATGGCTGACTGCAGTTCAAGTCCCATACATGAGGGCTTGCTCTCCCACTTTCCCCTACCCGCCCCCTCGCTCATTCCCTCTCCGGTCAAATTTAAAAAGAGATATGTTTTATGGTCTTTAAGCATTTTTTTTTTTGGCCAGAGACAAAGAAAGAGAGAGAAGGGGAAAAATACCTCCTCTATAGGTTAGGGTCACACACAATGCCTTTGCCTCCATTTCTCTATCCTGCCTGGCTTGCCTGAAATAGCATTCTATAATGTGTTATAGTAAACCTTAAATGAAAAATAGAAAATACAGGGGCCAGCAGGTGGCATGGTGGTTAAAGGTGCTGGATTCCCACATGGCTGACCGTGGTTTGAGTCCTGGACGTGGTGGCTTTCTTTTTGCTTTCTCTCTCTCTCTCTCTCTCTTTGTCCCTCTCTGGTCAAATTAAAATAAACTAATGAATAAATAAATAAAGAAAGTTAAATAAAATAATTCTTTAAAAAAAAAATAAAACCACCAGAAAATACATCCATAGGGACATGATAGTAGTGGTTAAGTGTTCTACAAAACTAACAAGTCAAAGGGAGAAACAAAAAGTAGTATTTAGTCACTCTCATCTGGTTGCTTTATTACTCTTTAGAAGCCTTCCCTGACAACTCAGAGCTTGCTCAACTCTTAAAAAAAAAAAAAAAAAAATTGGAGATTAGCAGATAGTGTAATCGGTACGTCACTGAACTCCCACTCGCCAACCAAGGCTCTTGGTCGGGTCCTGGATCAGTGGCCTCAAACTCACACTGAGCCTGTGCATACATACCAAAAGAGAGGAGAATGGAGAAGGGATCATGGCGTGGCCATCCCCTCTGGGGGCTGATTTCTCACTTTCTCGCTTTCTGTCTCTGTCTGTCTCTTTGGTGAGTCTATGTGCTCTACAGCAAAAAAATCTTTTTTTTGAAAAAAAAAAAAACAAAAAACAAAAACAACCTATTATTTCCCTCTTTATAAGTAAAAAAAGTAAGCCCATTGAGATAAAATGCTTATTGAATGCCCCACAGCTCATTAACTAGCTGAGTTAAAATGATTCATGAGTCATATCCTGTGTACCCCATCCCTAGTTAGCTGGGATTGAAAAAAAAGGGCTGCCAGCTTTCACTGGAATGTTCTAAAAGACCATCTTTCTTCTGTAAGACAGTAAGGATTTGAACTCCATTTATTCTAGTGGCTGTTTAGTTTTTACTGGGCCAGTTAAGTCTTTCTAAACACTCACTAAAACAAGACTTAGAAAATGAAATGAATGAATTTAAGTGCTAAGTAACTATTAATTGAAGATGGAGACCAGGCAAGCCTCCATACTTAGGGCTAGTAGTGACAAAGACCATTAAATATGCTATTTAAAACATATTTAAATGTTGGATCCAACTGCTGATCCCCCTGCTGGGGCCCGCAGATGGCATGGTGGTTAAGGGTGCTGGACTCCCACCTGGCCCACCGTGGTTCCAGTTCCGGACCTGGTAGCTTATTTTCTCACTTTCTCTCTCTCTCTGGTCTAATGAAAATAAATAAACAAACAAACAAATGAATAAAATTAAATAAAATAAACCTAAAAAAAAAAAAAAACACTTCTGGGTGCTATAAATAAAAGTAATATTCCTAAAAGAAAGGGCCTTAGGGGACACTAACTTAGATGACATGGTAGTGCCAGAAGAGTACAGTCAGGTGGTCCGGGCAGTGTGAGCTGAGGAGTGCAGTGGGGGGTTAGGGAAGGAAGGCATGGCAGAGGCAGACATCCTGAGGTGGGGAGCTTGGCTCATCAAGTAACTAAAAACCTGGGAAGTAACTGAGAGAAGAGGGAGACCTGCTTAGAGATGAGGATGGGAATAACGGGGGCTGGGAAGCTGGTCTCCAGTCTCCCCACCAGCACTCTAAGCTCCCTTGCAGTTCTGATGCTGCTTGGCCTGCAAACCAGGTATTTACAGAGCACCTTACAATTCAAATGCAAAAATCTATTCATCTCATTATTCACTTCCTTCTACTTGTTCCGTGTTCCAGGTGTGTTCCAGGTCCTATGATTGTCGTAAGCACATTGAGTTCAAGTTCCCAGAAGCTGCACCATGTTTGGTGGTTAAAGGCCCTAGATTCCCTCATCAC